TGATGCAATAGGTTTGGGCTAATCCAAGCAAGCACACAATGTTTTCCAGCACCTCCAGTGCCAGAAGGAGAACCAGAAGCTTTCAGAGCAGCTCACTCTGCTGAAGGAGGAAAACAAAGCCCTTTATGAGGAAGGAGTCCGGATCCTGAGCCAGAAGGATCTGTGTGTCAGGTAATGAGTGCAGCAGCAGGCACAAAGCACCTCCCTGGGACTGGCTCTTTGTGTGCCTGGCAGTGGCACTGCACTGAGGGTTCTGCAGCCTCTCTTGTCTCTCCTGGTCAAGGCATTTAGCACTAAACCCAGCAGCCCTGCGTCTGCTGCGGTGTCTGCAGCTGAAGGCAGTGAAGAACATGAGCTGGGGCCTCATTAGGGCTATGGGTGCTGCTGCTCAGGGCTGCCACTGGCAGAGATGCTCCCTGGAGCTGCTCCTTTCTCCCCAGAGCACTTCTGATCTAACCCAAAGGACCCCGGCCCTTTTGCCATGAGTTTTGAGCCAACATGGGTAAATATCCCTTATATGGTGGAGAGTTCTCTTTGTTTGGACTTTATCTGCTCTTCTCTCCTGAGTGGATAAATGAGACAATAACACTGCCTAAATGGGACAAGGCAGGGGGGAGAGCAACGATCACAACTCTCAGTAAAGACAAATATTTAACCCCAGTGTCCAGCTTTGAGAAGCTCCCACTGAAGCAGCTTTCTCCTGTTTGGGATTCTTCTTTTCTGGCCTTTTCCCCCCATACATCAGGAATTCCCCTTAACCACCCACATCCCCATCCGAACGAACAGCTTGCCTTTTCCCTGTTACTTCCAATACTTTATAACCCTGTTTGGTTTGACGAGCTGGGAGGGGCAGGTGCAAGGATTTCTTGTGGGATAACAGGGTGTCGGTTTGGGAATGCTCTGGGTCCTTTTCGCCCAGTTTCAATTTGGTTGGCACTTAATGTAACCATTGCAACAAAGGGAAAACCAACCCCAAACCGATCAGTGGAAGACACGGTCCAGTCAGTCAGTGTGCTCATTCTGCCTTCAGCTGCTCTGCCAAATGGAGCTGGGAGTTGCCTGAGGCTCCCAGTGCAGGCTTGGAAGAGCCTGCATCAATGCAGGACATCTTGATCCTGGCCCAAGGGCATGAAAGCCTTTGACAGCCTGAAGCTTGTGTCTCTGCCTCTGCAGGAAATACAACGAAACGCAGCTCCGCCACAAAGCCAAGATCCGCAGGGCCAAGGAGACCTTTATCCACGAGGTGAAACAAAGGGACAGCAGGATCAAGCAGCTTGAAAATGAGCTCAGCGAGTCAAAGCTCCAAGTGGAAAAGGTGAGAGAACGCATCGAGGGCTTCCCCCCCAAAAGGAAGGGCAGCTGAAGAAGAAAGGAGATGAGGTTTAGGAGCAGTGGGTTTGCAGGCAATGGGGATGCTCTGTTAACCAAGCGGGTGGTTGGAGCACAACCACAGCCAGCAGTGCCAAGGGGCACCAGCCCGTCCTGGCTGGAACAAAAGACTCCAAGGAAATTCCTGGCCCAAGTTTGCCCTCATGGGAACCCTGTGTCCTCAAATCCCATTCAGAAACTGCCCAAGCCACATCTTATTTTGGGAGAGGACCCAATAGCCTCCTTTTGGCATATGTTACCTCAAGTACTGTCTCACTTAGAATCATAGAATGAACCAGGTTGGAAAAGAGCTTTAAGCTCATCCAAGTCCAGCCGTTCCCAGCACTGCCAAGGGCACCACTGCCCCATGGCACTGAGGGTGTGTGAACACTTGCAGGGACGGTGACTCCAGCCCTGCCCTGGGCAGCCTGTTCCAATGCCTGAGCACCCTCTGGGGCAGGAATTGTTCCTCAGCTCCATCTAAACCTGCCCTGGTGCAGCTTGAGGCCGTTTCCTCTTGTCCCATCCCTTGTTCCTTGGGAGCAGAGCCCAGCCCCTCCTGGCTCCATCCTCCTGGCAGGCACTTGTAGGGAGCCATCAGGTCCCCCCTGAGCTTTCTCTTCTCCACTGAACCCCCCAGGTCCCTCAGCCCTTCCCCATCACACTTGTGCTCCAGGCCCTGCACCAGCTCCGCTGCCCTTCTCTGGCCCCTCTCCAGCACCTCAATGTCTCTCCTGCAGTGAGGGGCCCAGAGCTGAACACAGGATTCGAGGTGTGAACCTGTAGGAGTTAACACACGTGATGGTGACCCCTTCAATAAAGCACTCCAAGGTCTGCAGAGGACAGGGGGAGAGCAAAGCATAACCACTGCTGGTTGTTTCCCTCTGCTGCTCTGCTCAGGGGAAGATGCTGGTTGCTCAGATCACTGCTGAGAATGAGAAATTCCTGCAGGAAAGACGACGGCTCCTGCAGAAGATCACTGACCAAGAGGAGGCCCTGTGGAGCAACCGCTCCATGATTGCCACCCTGCAGAGCAGGTGGGTGCTTAACCATGTCCACACCTCCGGGAGCCTGCCTTTTCCCAGCGCTCCTCTGGTTGTATGCCTCTTTCTTTTAAGAAATCCAAGGGAAAGCCTGAACTGTGCCCCAGGCACTGGTGCACAGCTTTTAATTGCTATGGGATGTAATGAGCTCCTCTCCCCATCCAAGCCCCTGGTGTACAAGTGAAGGCTGTGCAGGCCAAAGGGTCTGTGGTTGAAAAAGCAAATGCCCCTTTGTAAAGGCTGTGTGGTCGGAAGGAAAATAACCTGTGCCTTGTATGTGTGATGTGCTCAGAGTGAAGATCCTGGATGAGGAGCTCATGCGGCTGCACGAGGGCAAGCTCCAGCTCTCTGGCCACGTGCCCACCTCGCAGCGCGCACCAGGGAGCATCCACGCTTCCAACACGGAGGTGAGACTCCGAGAGGGCTTGCACTCAGCAGGCAGGGTGTGGGAGCTGATGTCTCCTTGCGAGTTGGTGTTTGTAGCTGCAGCAGAAGGGCTGAGGCTTTGCCTGGAATGCAAAGGGGCACCAAACACAGCAGACAGCAGCGGCTTTGCTGGTGAGGAGCTGCAAGCTGTTGTACCACTCCATCAGCTTAGATTCAGACCCAAAGGCCAAATCCTAATCAAAGTACCTCTGTAGGGCTGGAGCTCATGGGGAGGGCTGTCAGTGGAGCCAAGGGCACGCTGAAGACCAGGACTGTATATTGGAATTCGGGGTCTGACATGCACATCCTCCTGTCTCTGTTCTTCCTTCCAGGACTTGAAGAGCATCACCTCCTCTGACCGCCGTCTACAGGGCAAGGTGTTGCCATCTCCCCATGCCAGGTACTGTGGAGTAAAAGGAGGAGGCAGGGAATGCTTCTGCATGTGGTGAGGGAGGAGCTGAGCGTTTTGCCTGCTCCACCCTGGGCTTTCACATCCAAGGCGGGTTGGGTTTCTTCTTTATTGGTCAAAATATAGGGAAAAATGGTTTTTAAAAGGCTCTGAAACGAAAGGGACGGAGAAGGAAAATCTTCAGCTCTGTCAGGGAATGCTGTGGGGTTTAGAGGTCAGCTTTTGGTGCCTGGTTTTGGAGGAGTGTCTTTACACAGGAGGTTATGAGACTTAGAGGACCACTGCTCAAAGCTGTATGACCCATTCCCAGGCTTTGGGGCAGGAAGGAACTCGAGTTATTTCTCCACTGATATAGCCACCAAGCACCACGATCCATGCCAAAACAGGCAGGGGGAAGGCAGAGGGGATCTGCAGCTCTGATCTCTGCTCACTGGAGATCCAGCACAGTGGGTTTGGCTGCTATTGAGGGGGACAGCATCTGAGCAGGTTCTGGGGTAGATGAGGACCATCCTTGGCTGGAGGAAGAGCATTGGAGCCTTAATGCAAGCAATGTCTTCAAGAGAGGACCTTTGCTTTCAGCTTCCCACCACGAGACCCACCGGATTCACTGAGCATCCTGAAGGGCACACAACACCCAAAGCCTGAAGGAGAAGCCGAAAGTCAAGACTTGGCCTTTTGCTTATCCCCCTGTCAGCCTTCTGAGCTCGGGTACTTAAATGTAGCTTCGCCTGGAGACACCACAGCCTCCCAGCGGCAGGATGAGAGGCAGGGGAGCAGCTCTGGGAACTCGTGAACAGGGGAAGATGCACCGGTGAGCTCCTCAAAGGAGGGACAAGTGCCTCAGGGCAGAAGCCTGGGCATTCATTGGAGAGCAAATGCTGCAGCTCCAGCAGGGGTCCAGATGAAAAGGCTGCAGACGTTGTCTATTTGGACCTTAATAAAGTATTTGCCGTTGTTCTCCTGGAGAGGTGGAGAGTTCACTGGGTGAAAAAGTGGCTGCATAGCTGAGCCCAAGGAGTGGTGGTGAATGGTGTCACATCGGCTTGGTGACAGTGGTGTCCCTCCGGGCTTGGTATTAGGGCCAGTGTTGATACCTTCATTGATGATGAGGATGAGGACACCCTCAGATGACACCAGGTTGGGTGGGAGCGTTGATCTGCTGGAGGGCAGGTAGCTCTGCAGAGGGACCTGGACAGGCTGGATCCATGGGATGTTGCCAATGGGATGAAGTTCAACAAGGGCCACAACAACCCCCTGCAACGCTCCAGGTGTGGCTGGAAACTGCTCATGGGGAAGGACCCGGAGGTGCTGATTGATGGAGCTGAACACGAGCAGCTTGTGCCCAGCCAGCCCCCAGCATCCTGGCCTGGATCAGCACCAGTGGCAGGGATTGTGCCCCTGCACTGGGCACTGCTGAGGCTGCACCTCGAATCCTGTGTTCAGCTCTGGGCCCCTCACTACAGGAGAGACATTGAGGTGCTGGAGCGGGGCCAGAGAAGGGAATGGAGCTGGTGCAGGGGCGGGGGGGCCCCGAGGGCCGCTCCTGGGTCTCTGCGGATCACGGACAAGCCCATGAAGGAGTCTGGGCTTCGGATAAGGGCAGTTTAACGACCGACATAAAGACCAGACACGATAGCACCACACCAACAACGGCACCACACCGCCATACCGGCTGCAGCCTGCCGGGGGGGGGAGAGCCGAGCCGAGCCCCGCCGCCGCTTCCGGCGCCGCTTGAGTGCGTCACGTCCGGTTCCGGTTCCGGTGGAGGCGGCCGCCATGGCGCTGCTGGCGTCCAACCCCGGTAACCCGGTGGTGTTCTTCGATGTCACCATCGGCGGGCAGGTACGGGGTGGGGGGGGGGAGCACCCAGGGGTGCATGGAGAGTGGGGGAACTGTCAGGGAGCACTGTGGGGGGGGGGGTGAGGGAGAGCGTAGGGCCTGTGGGGTCCTAGTGATGCGCACATAGACTCCACAGCTCGTTACCGTTGTGAAGGAGGTGTGCTTTAAACTGGAACTAAGGAACTGTGCCTCGCCGTTACCGGTCTGTTTCTCCCCCTTATCAATAGCCTGTTGTCCTGGTAGTGCATGACAGGTATTTGCAAACAATGCTTTCTGTTAAACAGGCAAAATTCCTTTATCCCCTCTTGCACGCCCCCCCTTGTACGTTGGTCAGCCCTCTGCATCACTAGGGGTGCGCTGGGAGGTTGAAGTGTGGGAGGTCCCAGGGCAGGGCTGGGGGGGGGAATGCAGGCGCTGACCCGGCCGTGTCTCCGCAGGAGGTTGGCCGCATGAAGATCGAGCTGTTTGCTGATGTTGTACCCAAAACGGCGGAGAACTTCAGGTGAGGAGCAGCGGTGCTCCTGCGGCTCGGCACGGAGCGGGCAGGGAAGGGGCTTGGCTGCAGGAATGGCTGTGGTGGCAGAGGGACCACGCTCCCCACCCCCACCGCCATGAACCCCTGTGCTTGCTTTGCTCATCTCTTCTCTCCTCATACCCAGAGGAGCGACCATGGAACACCCAGATCCCTCAGGGGAGCCCCTCTGGCCAGGAGCTGAAGGGCTCTGGTCCCTCTCTGCTTCCTTCATGGAGCTCCTGATGCTCAGTGCATTCAGAAAAGGCAGTACCTCAGTGTCATGGCAGAGGTCTCCTCGCCGGCTGGTTCCCTTGCCACTGAGTGAAGAGTGAGCTGCTTGCACGTCCATGGGAGGGATGGAGATACCCTGTTTGCTGTGAGACATGGTGCCTGCTCCACATCCACCGTCTATGGCAACCCTGGTGTTAAATATCCGATCTCCTCAATTACAGAGAGCTTACATGAAGAGGAAGTGGGGAGAAGTTACTGCTGGTTCCCATTTCACTGGGGATATCCCTGATGCAGTAAGGGGAGTCATAGAATTCCGGACTGGTTTGAATTGAAGGGACCTTAAAGCTCATCCAGCTCCAACCCCTGCCACAGGCAGGGACACCTTCCACTAGAGCAGCTTGCTCCAAGCCCCTGTGTCCAACCTGGCCTTGAACACTGCCAGGGATGGGGCAGCCACAGCTTCTCTGGGCACCCTGTGCCAGCGCCTCAGCACCCTCCCAGGGAAGAGCTTCTGCCTAAGAGCTCATCTCAGTCTCCCCTCTGGCAGGTTAAAGCCATTCCCCTTGGCCTGTCCCTGTATGTCCTGTGCAACAGTCAGTGCATATTTGCTGAATGCACTGCTCTGTCCTCAGAGTTCAGACGTTTCTCACACTCTGCTCTCTTGTTTTCCAGGCAATTTTGTACAGGTGAATTCAGGTAAGTGGCGTAAAGCGTCCTTTTAAGTGGTCTATGTAGAGAAACAGGTCTGGGTGAGTAGGAAGAAGGCTCACTTGGAGGTTTTTCTTAGTACATGAGTACAAAATGAAACCTGATGGAACTGTGGTGGGCTGGGTCAGTCACAGAGATGGCAGCCTTCCCATTTTGGGCATGACATTGTGTTCAGGTTGCTTTAAAAAAGCTCTGTCTGCAAATCCCACCTGCTTATTGTGCAGATTGCAATGGGATCCCATGAAGATGATGGTGTGGAAGTTTAGGGAACCAGGTCGCTTAATGTGCACAGCCCACTTGAGATTTCCCTTTGCAGTAGCTCAGAGCCAGGCTGCAGCACTGGGTTGTGTATCAAGGCAGATACTAATGTGTTTGCAACCCTTTGGGACTCTCAGTTCCTGAGAGGGTTTTGTGTTTGGAGATCCAGTAAGTTGCAATGCTTCTTCTTTTTATTTCCTTGCAGGAAAGATGGTGTCCCTATAGGTTATAAAGGAAGCACTTTCCACAGGTAATTCATCTGCTTTTATTTAGGCATTAAAATAGCAGTTTGAGTTAGATGTGGCTTTGAGATGTGCCTCAAGGTATTATTGGTCTGGGAGGCATTTGTAGGTCACAGCTTCTGTAGCTTTGAGGGGCTTGGGTTGCTGTTAGATGTGTACAATAGGATCAGTGGTCAGAGAGAACTTTCTGGCATCTGTCACATAATTACTGTTGCTGATTGAACAGCAACAGGTCCCACATTGCCTGATAGTGACCAGTAGTTAATATTTGTTGTAGATTTTAGATTGTGTCATTCACAGACCCTGATAGTTTTCATTGTGCTGCTGGGCAGAACTCCTTTTTACCACATGCTAAGCTTCTTGAGCCACTTGTGTACTGAGAACTAAGTATTGGTTTACTTCCTTAGGGTAATAAAGGATTTCATGATTCAAGGAGGGGACTTTGTAAACGTACGTACCCTGTGTTACCTTTGTACTTTTCCTGCATGCTCTAACATGTAACTGTTCTGGGCTCATCAGTGGGTTATGTTGGCTCTCTTGAGTAACTGGAGGTTTCCTCATAGCATTGCTGCCATCTACTGCAACAGGCTGTAATGTACTCAAAAGCAAATCTGGAGTCTTGGATGAACATACCTTCTCCTTCCCAAACTATTTCCTGTCTAAGAAAGCGTGGCAGTACAGCCAGAGGCTTCTCAAACTTGCAAAGGTCTTTTCTTACCTTGTTGTCCTTCCCTTTTCTCCTGCCCTCCCAAGCAAGGAACCCTGCAAATGTCTATTAGCCTTGTGCAGAGAGTCCCTAAGTATAGCACCAAGTATCTGGTGCAGGAGATTAAATGAAAATGGTCTTTTTGTTAGTGAATCATCTCTAAATAGAAAAGACTTTTGGTCTGTAGGCCAAGTAGAAATGACTGGTGGTTATGCTCTGACTCTGGAATAAGCAGTGTATATGGGAAAGGCTGGAGGACCACAGGGTCTCTTTGCTGTCCTAGGCCCCAGTGAAATGATTCCATTTCTGGATTTTTTTTTCAAAATAGGAGGGGGGTGACAAAGCTTTTTTAATACAAAATGTATAAAACTTGGTTGTATGAAAGCCACTGAGAGAACTGACTGCATAGATGGCACCAGACTTCCAGGTACTCACTAACTGTGATACTGCTCAAATGTCCCACTGGGCTTTATTACTGCCTCTGAAGCTCAGCAAGTAACACAGATAGCACCAGTGTTTGTCATTTATGAATTACACTTGTTACAAAGCCACTTAGGGGGCAAGAATAGTCACATTGACCACTAAGATAGGGTAAAGATAGGGTATGTGTTGCTGTCTCAGAGCTCACAGTTCCACAGAGAATACAAGGAAAAGAAGCAAGGATGGGGCAAGCAGAGCAAAAGATGTGGGGCTGCACATGATATATTACTGGCATCTTACTTTCTTGTTAAATTTGGCTTAAGAAAGAACATATATGTAAAGCAGAAAGGCAGTGAAGGGAGACAGACTGCAGCAAAGCAGAAGGAATGGTGCTGAAGTGACAAAGGAAGGGAAAATCAACCCAGAAATGGGAATCGCTGTCAGGAGAGTAAGTTAAACTGACCGTGCCCAAGATACCTGTTTGCATTGCTTCTGCACCCTTCCCTGAAGAGTTCCTCACTGCAGCATCTTTATGGCCAGTTTATTGAAGGCATCACACAGGAGTGTCTGCAATGCTGGACCAAAGGGCAGGGTCATTCCAGCAGTCCCACAGCTTACGTGTCTTACATGAGCCATGCTGGTGCTTCTGCAAGGTTACAAACTGAGCAATCAGAGCCTGCATTCTGCAGCTGGTGTGGGCCTTGCTGCTTTAATTTAGCAGGGTCTTGGGATGTGAGTGCTGGGGCTCGTAGTTAAGTGCAGGATGTCTGGATGTGGTAGAAAGTACAGCAAAAATTAGCAAACCTCTTTTTTAGCAACTGCCCTTGCTGCATGGAGATCATTTTCCTGTTCACAGCAGTCACAGAAAAGAAGGTGAAATAAGTAAGCACAGCATCAGCTCACTTCTTCCACATGACCACTTCTGCTTTCCTTATCACACCAGCCCATGCTTTTGTCTCCTTTTCCTTTTCCATGCCAAGTCCAGGTGGGTCTATACCAAGCAATCTAAAGCTTCCATCCCACTCTGGGAGGCTTGGGCTTAATCCTTACCATCACTGTGGGTTTCTGCCAACATACGGATGGCAAACAATGTTGTGTGCAGTTAGAAAGGAGTTCCTCTTCAGAAATGAAACGTGGGATGTGTTCACAGCTGGTGTGTGTAACTGGCAGGACAGCTTCTGTTTTGGGCTGAATTTAACCCTGTTCTTTTGCTTGGGGATTTTAAATGTAATGTTTAAATTGAATTGTTCTGTAGCAGTTGCTACAGAACAAAGGCTGTGGCTGACTGGGCACCTCTTTCGTGCAGGGAGATGGCACTGGTGTAGCTAGTATATACAGGGGTCCCTTTGCAGATGAAAACTTCAAGCTGAAACATTCTGCTCCTGGGCTGCTCTCTATGGTGAGTATGAAATAATGGCTTCATAAGACTAAAAAGCTTTTGGTACTTTGTGCTCTTTTTCCTAAGTGTATAAAGTTATTTATCAGACAACAGAAATCACCACCATTGGATCCAAGGTCTGAAAGATCTGCTTTGTAACTACTAGTCAGAAGGCTGTTCATGGGTTAATGTGTGGAGTAACACAGAAGTTCTGATCCTGCAACATCCTTTCTTTGTTACCTGTTGGAGTGCTGGGCCAGGCTTTGTTTGATCAGCCTGTGGCATTGCTTGATTCTTAGTTTTCAGACAGGGCAGGTGGTGGTGTTTTCTTCTTCCCTGATACTGTTATCAAGCACTGACCTCAGCAAGGGTGAAACAAAGAGATCTGGGAGGTTCAAAGCTGCAGCAGTGTTACCATGGTATCTTTTATAACATATGCTTCCTGTTCAGCATTGTAGGAAAAACTGCAACCATTGCACGTTGTCTGGTAGGAACAATACCCTGACTTCTGGGATAGAAAGCAGGTGGAGCCAGGGCTTCAGTGTTCCCATCCACAGTGGCTTCTTTTCCAGCTCTTCCAGCTGCCCTGCCCTTAAAACCACTTCCTTTGGGCATTCACCATTTGGATTAGCTATTCATCCAGTTCAAAACATGGCCTAAAAAGAGGCTTCACGACACAGCTCAGCCACTAGTGTACTGTGGTGTGGGAGGAGGGATCCTCACTGGTGTCACCAGCTTTGTGTTCAAGTGGCATGGTGCTGGAGTCATTCTGCTGAGCCAAACCATGGTGCATCCCAGGTGGATCCTTCCAAAGCTGGCTAACAATAAGGAAAAGTCCAATGTGACCATATCCTGTGCAGTCCTGCAGCTGCAAAACTTGCCTGGCTTACCTGTAAGCACAGGAACAGGCTTTAATGTCTGCCCTGGTTCCTGGCTTTCAGTTTTCTCTAGGACAATACTGCACCCAATAAGCACTGATCACCAAAGAGTTCAGCCTGTTTTCAGGAGCAAGCTGTAGAGCCCAGATTTGAGCGCAGTCTTGTGCTGAACATGCCTTTGTAGAATGACAATAAAAGGCTGGTCTGGTCACTGGCCTGAGCAGGTTTGGTGGTGTGGCATGTCCCAGCACAGGGTACCCTCCTGCAGATGTCTGTCTTGCTTCCCTTGGTTTCTGTAGCAATAAGCTAAAAATAAGCTAGGCCTAGAGCAACAGCTTTTCTCTGTGTGAGATGTGTCTGCCTTCAGTTTTGGGAAGCCTTAAATTGTGCCCTTTTTGTGTTTTGCCATTCTCACCCCCAGGCAAACAGTGGTCCCAGTACCAACGGCTGCCAGTTTTTCATTACCTGCTCCAAATGTGACTGGTTGGATGGGAAACACGTTGTGTTTGGTGAGTACCCCCCATGAGCCAGGAGCTGTGCCCTTCCCCCTTGTCTGTGCTGGTGGAGGTGTCTGTACAGGTGCTCTGATGGGTCACTGAGGAAATGAAATGTTTTTTTTTCCCAGTTTAGCTTTAATCCAGATCAGTTCACAGAATAGTTAGGGTTGGAAAGGACCTTAAGATCATCCAGTTCCAACCCCCCTGCAATGGGCAGGGACACCTCACACTAAACCATGGCACCCAAGGCTTCGCCCAACCTGGCCTTGAACACTGCCAGGGATGGAGCATTATCAACTTCCCTGGGCCTCAGCACCCTCACAGTAAAGAATTTCCTCCTTATATCCAATCTAAACTTCCCCTGTTTCAGTTTGAACCCGTTACCCCTTGTCCTGTCACTACAGTCCCTAATGAAGAGTCCCTGCCCAGCATCCCTGTAGCCCCCTTCAGACACTGGAAGGCTGCTATGAATTCTCCACGCAGCTTCTCTTCTCCAGGCTGAACAGCCCCAACTTTCTCCTCCTATCTCCATACAGGAGGTGCTCCAGCCCCTGATCATCGTCGTGGCCTCCTCTGGACTTGTTCTAGCAGCTCCATGTCCTTTTTATGTTAGGGACACCAGAACTGCACACAGTGCTGCAAGTGAGGTCTCACAGGAGCAGAGCAGAGGGGCAGGATCACCTCCTTCGCCCTGCTGGTCATGCTCCTTTTGATGCAGCCCAGGATATGGTTGGTTTCAGGGCTGCAAGCGCACACTGAAGCTGGCTGATGTTCATTTTCTCATTGACCAGCACCCCCAAGTCCTTCCCTGCAGGGCTGCTCTGAATCTCACCTTGACTGGTGTGTCACATTACTGCACAAATCCTTGTGCCAGTGCAGACAGATGAGTGGAGGGACACCTTTCCACTGCCAGAGAGGACTGAGCTTTCAGTAGTTTTTAGATAGTAATTCCATGAAACCCCAACTGCTGACTCTTCATGTGCTGTCACATGAGCTGTGGGATCTCAAGATCAGCCTTTAAGCTGAAGCTCTACTTACTACTTCCTCCAGTTCTTAAGTAACACTGCTATTGTTCATTGATGGTTTTGCATCATTACCAGGGTGGTGTTGATGGAGGGAGTTCATGGTGTGTTTTAGCACAGCTGGTGGCAGTAGGTCTCAAAACCTACATAGCTACATGTGCCACCCTTGCCATGGGAAAAAGCACTTGATCTGTTCTGAATGTGGAATATGTGTTAAGAGGGATTGTTCCCTTTGTCAGTTTAGAGATGGGTAGCAAACCCATTGAAGTGCCCAATGCACTGCACAAGGCTTTCCTTTGGGAACAAAACCACATGTACCTGTGATGAGTTGGGGGGAGCAAAGGTGAAAAATAGCCTTATTGAAGTGGGTGAATCTTCTCATTCCAGGTAAAATTGTTGATGGGCTGTTGGTCATGAGAAAAATTGAGGTAAGTTGAATTCACCTATTTCTCTATGAATGTTCACGTTGGAAAGTCTTGTAGAGGATTAACAAGGGTTGTTCTGTTCTCTCCCACTGCCTGTTGACAGGATATCAGGGAATACCAGTGCTGATAACTGGTATTATTGATTGTCATCATTCTAGAATAGCAGGAAATCTGTAGAGGCAAAGGCTGTCATAGAGATTGGCTTTAGAAAGGCTCTGCTCTCGTGGTTGCTGGTTGGTCTGTGAGCAGGGATTGTGTTCTGGTGGCTTTATTTGCAATGCTTTGCATTTGTTCGGGAAGCTGAATTAAAAAGCTGTTCCATCAGCAGCTCAGACAAGAGTGTAAAGCAGATCACTTCTGTGCCATTGCCTGGGATTATTCATTGGGTGCTAACTCATCAGTTCTGCTGATCTGTGATCAGCATGTTTAATAGGAGAAATTCAACTCCTCTTCTGATGGGCTTTCAGGAGCCTGAAGATGAAGATGCTCAGGGCTGGAGGTTGCTCCCAGTGTTGTGACTGGGTGTCCTGGCAGCTGGATGAGTAGATTTACCAAACAGCAGAGAGTTCTGACACCCAACTTCATTGCACAGGCCTGGGATAAGGTGCTCAAGGGCCTCTAGTCTAAAGCTAAAAAAGGCAGGGCAAACACAAGAGCTGCTGGGTGCTGAGAAAAGGTCACATGTGAGGAGCTGTACAGCATGATATAACATGTGTTGCTAGTCCTCTTCACCAGGAGCACTGGTGGTGTGTCTGCTTTGTGCACTGCAGCAGTGAGGGGCAAGGTAACGGAAAGGAGACTCATGGAGGAGCAGAGTCCAGCAGAATGAGGGGCTCAGTGGAGCTGCTTGTGAGTGGCTCATGTGTAGGTTGACTTTCTGTACAACACGGTTTTCCTTTGCTCATTGGAACTGTAATTAGTAACTTAAAGACTTAAGCCAGAGCAGTCTGAAGTGACATGATGCTGGCTGTATCTCAGGAGAAGCTCCCCTGCTTTTGCTCTGTTCCTTCCCTCCCATTCAAAGGATCAGGCTCTGGTCTGTATCCCAGAGCTCTGCACATCAGCTTATGGCTGATGCCAAAATGCATAACAGCGCTTCCATGTTATGCAGAGCTGTGTCCCAACTTCCCTGTTCCTGACGTTGTACAGGCATCTCTCAGCCAGTTTTCAAGTACCTGTTGCTCGCTGGCTTTGTGCTTTCAGAAGTTTTAAGGTTATATCTTTCTTTGTCCCCAGAATGTGCCTACAGGTCCCAATAACAAACCCAAGCTGCCAGTTGTGATCTCTCAGTGTGGGGAAATGTAAAAACAGTGAAACAGAAACGTGGTAAGTCTGTCTTCACAGGCACCCAGTGCAGTTGCACTCTGGGCTGCCCTGCTCCTTCCTTTCCTCTTAACTTATTTTCACATTCATTGGTGAGAGCTGACTCAGCTCAGTGAAACACCAGAAAGTGCTTTTCTAACTGCTTAGTTATTTGCCAGCTCCACTCCCTGAACTGGCTTCCCTCTGAGCTACACAGACACCAAAGGCAGTGCTGGAGGGATAGGATTTTGCAGCTGCACTCATGGGGAAGGTGGGGTTGTGGAATGGGGTTAAGCTGCCTTCAAGCCTCCACTTTAGAAACCAGTGGATGAAAGGGAACTGCAGCAGGAATCTGCTGCTGTTACCCAGGGAGTCTTAAGGGGTGAGGGCTTCACTTTGACCTGCAGGTTGGTGAACCGATTGTTACAGAAAGCAGAGCAGGCAGAGGTCAAGAAGAGGAGAGGAGAAAGAGCGGATTTAAGTCTCCCTGCTCAGTGCAGCCACAGAGCTGCCACCAGTGAAGAATCAAGGAATTACCATGTTAGATAGAACCTTCACTCGAAAAAATGCCACGTGCTCATCTGGAGGGAGATGTTTCCAGCATTTACTATGGCTTTATTCTGGTTAAACCAATAGGTTCCAGACAGAGCTGATGTACAATGTTCTGTTTCCATTTGTCCGCCCACTTTACCATCAAAAACACGAGCATTTGAACAAATCTGTCTACATTTCAATGTGTCAGGCTGCAGCTTGTCAAAAATCTGCTGGATTAGCCTTTTGGTTGCTGATTTTTCCAATTCCCACAGGCAGGCACTGAGAACAGCAAATCCCACAGTTTTTGACCTTCCATTACGTGATTTCCAGAGACATCTGGAATTGCCCACGAAGACGCATCCGCGCTTCCATAATAGTCTTTCAGATCTGCAGCACTTCAGGCTCTTGGGAGCTCCTCCTGTTTGATGAAGTGACAACAGGGGATGTAATCATTCCCTCATTTCCCTGGTGCTTCTGGTGGCATTTATAGGCTTTTGAAGGCGGGGACAACCTTGTTAATATACTTTCTGCAGATGGGCAGACCCATGCACATGGGTCAGGTCCCCTTTAGGCTTGTCCTCAGGCTCAGGCTTGTTGATGATTTCGTTTTGGAGTGCGTGATCTGTGGCCAACATCCAGCTTGAGACTGGAAGCTTTTAATTTCTAGGTATGAGGCTGGTGCCACCTTGCTTACATCCCCAGCCAGGCCTTTGGAACTGCCTTTCTGCAGCCTGCTGCCTCTCAGCTTTCTGTAGACAAGAAGGGCATTTTTTTTGCTCAATGTCAAGACAACTGAATAAGTTACTTGTCAAGATCCTTTCAAACCAGATAGATTTTAAGTTCATATGTAGGTGCAGCTGCCTGCTGTGGAGACGCAGGACTTCTGGGTTCTCTAGCTCAGGATTGACATGAGCAGGTAGCACTCGCTTGAAAACTGCTGTAGCATCACCCAGTGTCACTGCCCAGTCTTGCTGTTGTAGGATATGTTGGGAAGGACTGTCCAGCATTTCGGATCTGTTTCTGCTTTGTTTCAGTGTTCCATCCATCGCTGGTGGTTAGGCCTATGCTGGCTCCGTGCAGTTCCAACTCCAGCCAGTTCCCCACTGCCCGAGTCCTCCCCGCAGCCCAGGTCCAAGCTCTTGGCTCTTGACATTCTCCTGAAATTATTTAGTACTTGGCATCTATTTTGTTTTTTTACATTTTGAAGTGTAAATAAAGAGTTTTGTTAAATAAGTGTGCAGTGCACATCAGTGAACGTGCTTGGGAACAGGTTCTTCTTCAGGAGAGGAGCATCTTCAGCAACGAGCACCGTTCCCAGGCTGGTTCAGCAGGGAACATTTACTGCGTGTGCTGTTGAGGAGGATTGCAAATGGGCAAGAAGGGATGGAAGCAGCGTGACAGAGCATGGCAGTGCTGAGCTACACCAGCTCCTTTACTCAGCAGGTAAATAAGGCTGCCTGGCAGAGGATCTTGGCACCTTGGGAATCACCAGAACCTTTCTACATGCAGCCTTACTGAAGCACAAGATATTGGTGTGGTGGAGAGCCCCCTGTGTCCAGCTCTGGGGCAGCAGCACAAGAAGGATGTGGAGCTGCTGGAGCCAATCCAGAGGAGGCCATGGAGATGCTGTGAGGGCTGGAGCAGCTCTGCTCTGGAGCCAGGCTGAGAGAGCTGGGCTGGGTCAGCCTGGAGAAGAGAAGGCTCCTGAAGGGGAGACCTTAGAGCAGCTCCAGTGGCAGGGGTTGGAGCTGGATGAGCTTTAAGGTCCTTTCCAACCCAAACCAGTCTGGAATTCTGTGATGACCTGAGTTTGCTGGGCTCTGTGGTGAGTTATGTTGTGAACAAGTGTTTGTAGAACCTCCATGGCACACAGCAGCACTGGGCCATGGGGGTGTTCTGTGCTATGGATGTTACAGGAATTTACCTGGGTGCTACAAGAGTGTTGGAGCAGGGTTTTAGGCTGGGAAGTAGAGAATGACTGAGCTGTAAGAGTAGAAACCTAGGGGTCCTTATCCTGTGTGGTTACAATGAGCACAGCTGAGGCAGCAGGTTAATGGGAAACATCACTTTCTTCTCCCAGAAACCAGTGTCACCTATCTGCTGGGGACGTGCTCACTTCTCCCAGCCTGAGGCATCTCACCCTCTTGCACCTGCAGAATGTTAAGTGATGAAAGAAGCACACCTTCCCTTTCCTCTCCAGCCCCCAAAAGACTGCAGAGGGCTCTGTCCTGTGAGCTGAGGGTAGAAGATTCCTAATAGGGAAGAGAAACCTGGAGCCAGATGTCAGCTCTGAGGCAGAGGTGACCAAAAAGAGGGAAACTCAGCTGCTGATCCTGCTCAGGAAACGTGTCCTGATGGCTCTTCCCTGCAGGGCTGAGGCAGGAGCTTGGCTCTGGGCAGCTATGGGGGGCTCTTCTGCAGCTTTGTGGGTCTGGCTGTGGGTACCCAGATTTACTGGGCTTCTTCACCAGGGAAACCAGGTTGTTTTGTGGGCCCAGGCTCGGCAGCACTTTCTCAACCTGCAGTATTTGTCAGCATAGCAGGGTCACAGAGCTTCCCCAAGGTAATTAGCAGCAGCAAATCCATTACAACCTCTTTGAAAGCTGTTCCAAGAGCTAATTATATCCTGTGAGTGTTTCTCTTTGACACCTGATGTGCAGAGTTCCAGCTTCCCAGCTGATGGACCTTGCTGTTCCTTAGCTGCTGGGTGAAAGCTTCCTCAAAGACCACATTTTTGGGTTGAACTCCCCCATGATGAAGTCCCCTTTGGTTAAGTTGTATGTAGCACATCCTGGAATCTCCTGCTGTAGAGCAGATGATGGATTTGAGATGTGATCTGGATTCTCTCACATGGAAAGACCATTATAAGAGTTATTTTTCAGTTGATCTGAGCATCATCCAGTTTTGATATCATTCCAGTTTCTTTATCAAGGCAATAATCCTGATGCAGACCCCTTGTGGGATTGTGTTTTAAGGCTCTTTACTCCATTAGCTTAGTTGGAGGTCCCATTGAAAAGTTATCAAGATGGCTTGATGAGACATGCATGCTGGTGGTTGTGGTCGCTTGATCTTGGTCCCATCCAAGCCCCTCGCCCAGTCATGGTGCAGTGTGGGGAACTGGCATCTGTTCTTCACTGTGGGATGGGAAGATGGGCATTTGATGCAGAGGTGACACTGGAAGGACTGATCTCAAGGGGATACCCACTGGTTGCAAAGGTGGTGGAGTGATGGGTGAGCTCCTAGAGACCTTGGGTGGTTGCTGGTGACCTTTCCCTTTTCTTATCACAGAATCCCAGCCTGGTTTGGGTTGAAGGGACCTTAAAGCTCATCCATTTCCAACCCGTGCCATGGGCAGGAACACCTTCCACTAGAGCAGCTTGCTCCAAGCCCCTGTGTCCAACCTGGCCTTGAGCACTGCCAGGGATGGGGCAGCCACAGCTTCTCTGGGCACCCTGTGCCAGCGCCTCAGCACCCTCACAGGGAAGAGCTTCTGCCTAAGAGCTCATCTCAGTCTCCCCTCTGGCAGGTTAAAGCCATTCCCCTTGGCCTGTCCCTACATCCCTTGTCCCAAGCCCCTCTCCAGGTTTCCTGCAGCCCCTTCAGGCACTGGAGCTGCTCTAAGGTCTCCCCTTCAGGAGCCTTCTCTTCCCCAGGCTGCCCCAGCCCAGCTCTCTCAGCCTGGCTCCAGAGCAGAGCTGCTCCAGCCCTCGCAGCATCTCCATGGCCTCCTCTGGCCTCTCTCCAGCAGCTCCACGTCCCTCTTGTGCTGCTGCCCCAGAGCTGGACGTAGTGGGAGGGATGGGGGACGAATGACATAGCCAAGGGCAGGGCTCTGTGTGCCCAAGGAGGAGAACCTGGTGGAGGAGAACCCTGGGTTTCCCTTGGACCTTCCCATGTGGGGAATCCAGCAGAGATCTGGGATCTCTGAGCCGCTGTCAGGTGGAGACATGAGATGCAGGCATCGGCAGAGAAGGGTTCCATCACGTTGAAGAGGCCAGCTCCGGGCAGGGCGAGCTGCCCCACAGCCTTCCCCCAGCCCCGGGGTGAAGCAGCTCCACTGGGAAGGAAAGGATAGGATGGGAATGGAGGGATGGGACGGAAAAGGGTAATGAGGGCTCTAAGGGAGCCCTGCGGCGGGGCTGCAGCCCGGCTCTCCGTGCCTCAGTGACACGGAGCGGCTCGGCCCGGTCCCCGCCGCCGTTAACGGTCCCGGGCTCCTGCCGTCGGTTACGGCCGCTGCGGGCACCCCCGGAACCGCCGCCACATGGAGCGCGCCCTGCCCCGGTCGTGCCCGTTGTGGGGCGGGAGCGAACGGCGGCGGCCAATCAGAGCGCGGGGGTGGGGACTCCGGGTTGGCCGGTAAGAAAAGGGAGCCTGGCAGCGGCGGCCTCAGCAGCCAATGGGCGCGCTCTGCTGAGGAAAGGCAGGAGGCTCGGCCAATAGGCGTTGGGCGATGGGCGGTAGCCGGGAGTGTGCGAGCCAATGAGTTCGCTCGGAGCTTAACTGGCATCCCGAGCGGCGAATGGCGTGTGGCGCGGGCGGGGCGCGCGGGGTGGCTAGCCGGTGCGGGCCGCCATTGTGGCCAGTTCGATCGGTCTCGGGAGCGGAGAGCGGAGCTCAGCGAGCCCGGAGCAGGGAGCAGCCCCCCCCCCCCCCCCACGGCCGGCCGCAGTCACCATCACACCGCGGGAGGCGGCGCTAACAGCCGGTCACCACCACCGTCCGCACCGAGCAGCCGCCGCCATGAGCAGCGAGGCCGAGACCCAGCCGCCCGCCCCCCGTCCCCGCGGCGGCCCCTCCCGCCGCCACCGCCGACTCCAAACCTAACGGCGGTACCGGGAACGGGGGCAGCGGCCTGGCCTCGGCGGCTCCTCCCGCCGGCGGGGACAAGAAGGTCATCGGTGAGGGGACGGGGACGGGGACGGGGGGCGGTTGATGAGGGGGAGGAGGAGGAGGAGGAGGTGGGGGGGGGGGGGAAGCGGCGGCGCGAGCACAACCGCCCCCCCCTTCCCTTCCCTTCCCTTCCCTCACACGCCGGGCCCGCCATCGCTGCGGGGCGGCGCGCGCGCGCGGCGGGAGGAGGAGGAGGCGGGGGCGCGCGCGCGCGCGGCCGTTGGGGCTCCCAACGCCTTCCTCCTCCTCCTCCTCCTCCTCCTCCTCCTCCTCCCGCCGCGCGCGCCGCCGGGCCCCGCGTGCCGGCGGGGGGGG